TACAGACGCCCACCACCACGCCTGGCTAATTTTTTGTTTTTAGTAGTGATGGGGTTTCACTGTGTTAGCCAGGATGGTCTTGATCTCCTAACTTTGTGATCCACCCACCTCGGCCTCCCAAAGTGCTGGGATTATAGGCATGAGCCACCGTGCCCATCCAGGCCTTTTATTTTCAAGCAGATTTTATCTAGTATTGTTCCATGCCCAGGAGGCTTTTAATAGGTCTAGAGTACATTTTTTAAAATTTGATTTTTTAATACGAAGTAGAATTATAAGGAGGCTTTTGATTTTTAAATTAAATTAAATTAAATTTTCTTGAGATAGGGTCTTGCTCTGTCGCTCAGGCTGGAGTGTAGTGGTGTGATCATGGCTTACTGTAGCCTCAACCTCCTGGACTCAAGCAATCTTCCCACCTTAGCCTCCCAAGTAGCTGGGACTACAGGCACACACCACCACATCCAGCTAATTTTTGCATTTTTTGCAGAGATGGATTTTTACCATATTGCCCAGGCTGGTCTCAAAATGCTTGGGCTCAAGCAATCTGCCTGCCTTGGCTTCCCAAAGTGCTGGGATTATAAGTATGAGCCACCATGCCTGGCTATAAGGAGGTTTTAAAAAACTTAATTTTGGAGAGTTTCAAACATACAAAATGAGACTGGATCGTGTAATGAGTCACTGGCCCTTTCCCCAGCACCACCTACCTCAATACATGGCCAATCCTGCCTCATCTACATCCATGCTGTATAAGGAAATAAATATACATCATCTGTATCTCAGCATGTTTCTCTAAAACAGACTGTTTCTTAATATCATCATAATGCTCTTCTGCCTAAAACGTAATACTTTTCTTATTGGGAGGTATTTTAAAGGATACAAGAGGAGAGAAATTTAGCCCCAAACATCTTGCGCAGCATATCAGCTTTTTTCTTTTTTTCCTATGTTCAGTTTTTGACCAAAAGCATGCTGACATTTTATAAAAATGATAGACATCTCTGCTCCTAGCAGCTTTTCTGGGTATACGTGTTGTGACTGGGGTAAACATCAACTGTCTATTCCTCCATCTAAGAAGAATAATAGGTATTCACTTCATTTGGACCATATTTATGTACCCTGAGTAATTCTTAGACCTCTCTCAACTTCTAAAGTTCCCTATTCATTCAGCAAATAGTTATTGAGAGACCATTGCATGTCAGTCACTGTTAGATCTGGGAATTACGGTGGACAAGAAGACAAACTGGGCCCTGGACTTGCTGGAATTTCAGTTGATAGGGAAGCAGGCCTTCCCCACACAAGGATACTGACATATCCCAACAGTCGCTGGGCTGCAGCTGTGGCAAGTGTTGTGGGGAAGCGCTGTGAGAGTGGACCGAGAAGACCTCAGGGGTCCGAAGGGTCAGGGAAGGCATTCTTGATTCTTGAGGAAGCGACATTTCAGCCCGGCAGTGCAGATCGAGGGAACAGCACGTGTGATTACCTTGAAACAAGAAGGAGGTTGGCTCCTAAAGGAACGGAAGGGAGACAGTGAGGCAGGTGTGGGGTTGGGGATGGGTGGGGGAAGTGGAAAGAGCCCCCCACCCTGGGCCTGTCTCTTCCAAATGGCCCTGAGACCTGAAGGCAGGCTCTTGGCTTCCCTGTGACTGGAGACCCTGGGATACCACATGGAGACGTGAGTTCCAGTTGCTCTCCTGACTGTAGCACTGTGGTGAAAAAAGAGCTCCAGTTTGGAAAGACATAGGCAGGCACTCGCAGGCTGTTACCCTGGAAGAAGAGAAGTCATACTATTTACACAGTAGGGTCACTGTGAGGATTAAAGGAAATATTATATATTGTATATAATGTAATATATGTTATATTATATACAATATGTTATATAACATGTATGTTACAATGTATGTTATATGTTATATATAATAAAATCACCTAACAACAAATGTCTTCCCCCTCCTCTTTCTTCAGTAACGTTCTTCTTCACTTTTCCTGTCAGGACCCATCAGCTCCTTGGGCTGCCTCAGGAGTCCCCTCCCCTGGCGTGGAGAGGACTCCATCTCTACTGCGGGTAGAGTCCTGGGGCCGTGCCCTTCCTGGGGCCCTTTTATTCAGACCCTGACCTTTACACAAATGATCGATTCAAACATAATGCTTTTTTCTTTTTGCCAAAAAACATTCAAAGTCCACAAAAGAACATGAAGGAAAAAGTGAAATCTCATTTTCCTGAGGAAACTGTCGTTAGAGATCTGGATTCCATCTTTCTAGAAGTTTTACATACACAAACACACAGTCTTAAAAAACGAAAATTTGAAATTTATGATTTTTCACTCAGTGTATCTTGATCTCTTTCTGTGTGTACAACTTTGAGACCTGGGCCGCTCAGGAGTGTTCTACAGACCTCAGTGTTCCTGGCATTGCTTGTGTTTTCCCCGCTCCGTGGCGGCCTCATCTCCCTGCCTAGGCCAGGGGCAGGAGCCTCTGTGTCCAGCCACCTGAGTTTTCCTGAAAGCCAGTTCACCTCTGAAAGCCTTTGCTTTGCAGAAATGTGTTTCACTAAAGCTCTGTGTCGTAATCGGCTTGTTTTTGAGGAACTGCGTGGAGTCTGTGACTGAAAGATCTTGCTTTTGTTTCCTGGTATTTGCGGAGTTTCATTAGAGCTTTTCCTCTTCCTGGTTATATGTCCGGTAAACTGGGGATAACTCAATGCCAGCTTGTGACTCTGCTGCAAACTATTTAACAGCTCAGTTACCCAAACTTAAGCACAAATGTCAGGGTAGCATCAGTGCTTTTGGGACCCAGCTGTAAGGGACTCAGGGGGAAGCGTTTACCAGAAGCAAGTACAAGGAATCACAGCCCCTTGCATCCATCTCTTTCCAAGTGTGGGAAGAAGGGCGAGAAGCAATGGTTGTTGTATTGTCTTACTTTTAAAAAAGCTTACATTGAAACGAAGCAAAACAAAACAAAGAACAAGCAAGATAGAAAGGTATAAAGAAAATGACAAAAGTCCATCCTGATCTCTAGCGCCCCCACCCCACCCGAGGTTCCCTCCTTAGAGACCTGTAAGATTCATCATCATCACGTAGCTTTCTAGACCTTTCTTTGATTTTGCAAACTTTGAATGAATGGGATCATAAAGTACTTACTGTTCTGCCACAGTGAATGATTTCCAATTGCAGACTAAAGTTTTGTGTGTTAAAAAATATTTTGTGGGCCAGGTGCGGTGGCTCATGCTTGTAATTCCAGCACTTTGGGAGGCCAAAGCAGGCAGATCACTTGACATCAGGAATTTGAGACCAATCTGGTCAAGATGGTGAAACCTTGTCTCTACTAAAAGTATAAAAATTAGCTGGGTGCAGTGGCTTACGCCTGTAATCCCAGCACTCTGGGGGCTGAGATGGGCGGATCACAAGGTCAAGAGATCAAGACCATCCTGGCCAACATAGTGAAACCCCGTCTCTACTGAAAATACAAAAATTAGTTGGGCATGGTGGTGTGCACCTGTAGTCCCAGCTGCGCAGGACGCTGAAGCAGGAGAATTGGTTGAACCCAGGAGGCGGAAGCTGCAGTGAGCCGAGATTGCGCCACTGCACTCCAGCCTGGCAGCAGAGTGAGACTCTGTCACAAAAACAAACAAACAAAATACAAAAATTAGCTAGTGTGGTGGTACACACTTGTAATTCCAGCTACTTGAAAGACTGCGGCAGGAGAATCACTTGAACCTGGGAGGTGGAGGTTGCAGTGAGCCAAGATCATGCCACTACACTCCAGCCTGGGTGACAGAGTGAGATGCCGTCTCAAAAAAAAGTGTTTTTTTTTTTAAAATACATGACAAGAATCTCTGTGTAAAGGCAGTTGAAAAGTTAGCAGGAGAGCAGAATTACCCTTATGGAATTTGGGTTTCTGTGCTGTGGGATTGTCGAGGTACCTGGGTCCGCCCCAGGGAAAATTGAGAGAAGACCAGTTTGTCTGAAGTCTCAGTCCTTGATCTTGGATTTTTTCTTACTTCTCTCCCTTCCGTGTTGTGAAGGCCCCTCCTCAGTCCCCCCGGATCTAAACATAACCTGCGGTATAGGGAGGTGCTTAATGTCAGACAGAATCACAGAGCCAGGCTTGAATGTAGATGTGTGTCTATAAGTAAGTTGCCTAACCTCTTTGAACTTCAGTTTTCCCAGCTATGAAGTGGAAAGTACAGAAAGGACAATTGCTGTGTCACAGAGTGGTTGCGAACATTAAATGTGCTTAGGAATATTTCTAGCTTATAGTAGGCGCTCAACAAATCTTAATATACCCCTTTCCTGCTTGCTAAGCCTTCATTCTATAAAAGCGTGTTAAGGCTTGGACATGTTACTGTTTCTCAAGGGTATTTGCATTTCAACAATGACCAAAACTTTAACTGAAGGAATTAAGAACCAGCCAACAGGACTGGGAGGATCCTTTTGGGCTGCAGTCACACCACCTCTTCCTGGCTTTTCAGAAATATTTCATGAATGGTCACAACAGGTTATGTACTAACACTACCCCCTTTTTCAGAGCTTGGCCCCAGGACCAGCCCTACCCTCAGAGGACAGTTTGGCTGCTAGATGACCGCCAGCCTCAACCTTGTGCGTTGTAGGCCATGTATTTAGTGATGAGGTTGGAGTCATATGGAGAAGCTGGGAAAAGGGGAAAGATAGCATTATTAAGAGCATGAGGTTTCAAATGCTTGCTTTTGTTACTAGGACAACACAAGTCCATCTGGTATCTTTGTGGGAGTTACTCCTAGGTGAGTGGACGGGCCCTTATAGACATTAGCAAAGGCTGCTCTTCCTCCGGGGTACATGCAGCCCAAGCCTATGCCAAATCAACTTGGTGAACAGAGACCAGGTGGGATTTTTGCTCCCTCCATCTCCACTGCCAGGCAATGAGTGCTGGGCACAATTTGCATAATCATACACAGTGGGCCCATTATGACAACCGTTTGCATGAGGCTTAAAGAGTCATTATTCTTTTTCTCTTTTCCTACTTTCTTTTAGCATCTTGACCTGAGCAATGGAGAACCTACCAGGAAACTTCCTCAGGGTGTTGTTTATGGTGTGGTGCGAAGATCAGATCAAAATCAGCAGAAAGAAATGGTGGTGTATGGGTGGTCCACGAGTCAACTGAAGGAAGAGATGAACTACATCAAAGATGTGAGCCATTTAAGAGTTTTTGCCCCCATCTGTTTTCTTTTTGTAGCGTGCAAGAGGATGGAGTTGGAAGCATTGAAGTGAATGTAATAAGGTATTTTGAAAGAATTCTTAATGTTATCATTTTGGCTGGAAATGTTTCTGTGTTTGGTTTCTGGAAATGGTAATGTTAAAGTACAGATGTAAATCTGCAAGGAAGGAAAGGTTGAACTTCTGCTGGATGGATGTTACTAGGTAAGTATACTTAGGAGAGCAGATGGCTTCCTCCTTCCGTGTAGGGTTTGGAGGCTCTTGAGTGGTTTTTCTTTATCACACTTACCAGTCCCAAATCCATCCCTGGCAAAAGGAATAGGAAGACGGTGGCTGATTCAGACCAATCAGTTGGGTTGAAACAAATGCTAGGAAGTCAACCACAATAGACTTTGTCCAACCAAGCCAATCAATGCCATTCACTTCCTTGTATTTAATAGTTTATTTCCTATCTTTTAAATTACACGTTCTTTTGAGAAAATTTGGGAAATACAAATACGTATGAAGAAGAAAATAAAATCACTCATAATCTCACCATTCAACCAGAGCAACTGTTAACATTTTGGAGTATTTTCTTCTCTCTCTCTCTCTCTCTCTCTTTTTCTCTCTCCATTTCTTTTCATTCTATCCTGTGTTCCCCTAGATTGACTGATTCCCCTCTTGACCAAACCACCCAGCTTGTATGGAAGAGGAGATGGGCTGCTCTGACACTGATGGGCTCACATTATAGACCAGTGGCTTAGAAAGTGCTTGTAAGAGGCAGTGTGGGGCCAGGGAGTCACCCAGGCCTGTGAGCTCACAGTCCTTGCTTTGAGCTCCAGCTCTGTGTCTGGCCCAGCAAGTCACTTTTACTCAGTGCATACTTCAGTCCTCAGGCTGAGATTGTGGGGGTTGGCTGGGCTTTGATACCTAAGGTTAAAAACACAGCTCTGTGAGCCCCATTTTATTTTGTGGGTTTTCAGATAAGATGCAAACTCACGATGTCTTAGCTTTTGTGTGAGTTTTTAAAAGGAACATTTGTTGAATTTAAAAAATAATAAATGCTTAGCAGAAAGTATGAGGAAAAGCCAGAAAAATTAACATGCATATACATAATGTATATGACAGCCACCAACCTCAAACTCCTAGTTATCCCAGCTTTCAAACATAATTTTAAAACTTTATTTTATTATATATTTTTGAGACAAGGTCTCACTCTGTCATCCAGGCTGGAGTGCAGTGGCACAATCACAGCTTACTGCAGCCTCTACCTCCCCAGCCTCAAGTGATCCTCTTGCCTCAGCTTCCCAAGCAGCTGGGACTGCAGGTGCGTGCCACTACCTGTAGATAATTTTTTGTAGAGTCGGGATTTTGCCATGATACCCAGGCTGGTCTCAAACTCCTGGACTCCAGTGAACCTCCCACCTCAGCTTCCCAAAATGCTGGGATTACAGGTGTAAGCCACTGTGCCTGGCCTCCAGACATAATGTTTAACCTTTCAGAATATTCAATTCCTGAATTTCCTGTTAAGAATAGCTCAGACATTTTAACTTTCTTATATTTTTTTCTCAAGGAAATATATAGACCTTCCTCATTTAAATGCTCCAGAGGCATGGCTCCTCCCTTAATAACCTTCTAAACAGAGTCCTGAGTCCCAGATTGCCCAAGACAAAGACAGGAGGAGATGTTGGCTAATCCTGAGTCGTGGATGACTTGTGCCAAAGTCACATGACCTGGAATTACTACCCTCCACTGTGATCTGCAACTTAAAACTAACTTTCAGGTCCCTCCTGCCACAGGTGGCTTCGGTATCATCCCTGGCCTGGTCGTTGCAGTATTTGCCTTTAGCTCAAGATTCCACCCACTCAGCACTGGGAGCACCGCAAGAGCCAGCCCAGGGCCACACGTGAAAGCCGTTCTGCCTGCCTAGAATGAAAAGTTGTACTTTTAACCTCATTTTCCCAAAATGTTTGTAGTTAATGGCAAGAAAGTAGACTCTATTTTTAGAATTCATATCGGAAAGTCTTGGAGTCTTGACTCTCCTTTCCCCCAAATCTCCACCAATATCCAGTAACCCCTAATAAACATGCTGTCTAATTTAAAACAATGTGCTTCAAAATTCAACCTTCCAATACTATGTCCTAAACACTTCCATTCTAACCAAACTGCTGCCTTTAGGCCCTTCCTAAAAGAGAAATTCTGGAGTGTGCTGGAGAAAACTCCCTTGAGACTTCCTGCCCTTTTTGAGGATTCCTGAGTATTTCCCCCATCCTAGGGACACCAGAAGAAGAGAGGAGACAGGGACTGTTTGTAAGGTCTTTTGTTGTGTTTTTAAAGTTTCTGAGGTCCTGCTAGGCCTCTGAAAGTAGTACTGTAGAGAAACTTGAACAGTGTTTGTGTAAACAAGTGTTTTGGGGATCACTTGAACTTTTGTTATGTTTATTGCCTTGTGTGTTATTGGTGATTATTGAGGAACTGACTTTCCAATTTATGGGCTCTCCAGGGTTCATATTTTACTTCCTTCCATTCCAGATATTTAATTGCTCTTTGGCAGTCAGAGCAGAGAGAGGGAAAATTAGAGGTTGCTTTTTGGTTTCTTTGCTCCTCTTAGCCATGAGTCTGTTAAAACACATTCTACTTGTAAAAATACGTGATGGGAAAAGGGCAAAACCTTGCCCAAATGTAATTTGAGGGTGATAGGTGAATTTCAACAAACTATTTTTTCTTCAGAGTTCATTTGGCTAATTAATATTTATTATTATATTTGTGTGTAATTATCTAGAATTATATGTAATTAATATATCATATTAACATATATTTTAATATATTCTATATTAATACATGCCTATATATTTTATTATGTATATAAATATACATATAAAATTATACATATAAATTATTTGGATAATTCCTATCTAGTTTCTAACTAATTGTTGGGGGTGACCTCCCTTAATTTCCTGACTGTCTTGTTCTTAAGAGTATTTTTATGTGGGTTCCTTCTTTCTTTAGAGTTTCTTAAAAGTTTTGGAAAGCTTGTATGAAAATGTTATAGCTTGATCTCTAACTAGTATCTCTGTGGGCTACAGGTGAGAGCCACTTTGGAAAAAGTGAGAAAGCGAATGTATGGAGACTATGGTGAGATGAGGCAGAAGATTCGACAGCTCACCCAGGAACTTTCAGTAAGTCATTATCTCAGTTGCTTGGAGATAGGGAGGCATGGCAGAGCTCAGAGTGGTCTCTCAGTTGCTGGTGTCTAAAGATATTAGAGTATCTAGTCTTGTTTATCAATAGAATTATATTTTAAATAAATTGAGGAAGTTTTTATCACAGAATGAAATGTGTTACCTAAAGGGACATTTTTGTGGCAAGAATAATCTTCTTCATGTTCAAAGGATTCCTACCAAAGTCAGGAGCAAAACAAGGAAGCCAGCTATCACTATTATTATTTAACATTGTTCTTGACATACTAGCCAAACAAGAGAAATAAACATATAGGTTTAAAAATGGCACAGATAGATGGAAAACTATCACTGTTTACAAACCATATGACTGTATACCTGGAAAGCCCAAGTGAGCATGAGCTGATGAAAGAAAAACTACTATGAACAAATAAGGAATTCGTTATTTGTAGCAGGGTATAAAATTTTATACACACACACACATACACACACACACAGAGGATATAGAATTAATATATACAAACAGGTTTCAATGTACAAAAAATTTCCAAAATATCATCAACAGAAAAATACTACATACCTAGGAGTCAACTATAATAAGTGGAAAGAAACACCATGTGCTTTGAAAGGAAGACTCAGCATCATAAGATCCACGTTACTGTACCAATTTGATGTGACCCAATAAAAAGACCACAGCACTTTGGGAGGCCGAGACAGGTGGATCACGAGGTCAGGAGATTGAGACCATCCTGGCTAACATGGTGAAACCGCGTCTCTACTAAAAAATACAAAAAAACTAGCTGGATGAGGTGGTGGGCGCCTGTAGTCCCAGCTACATGGGAGGCTGAGGCAGGAGAATGGCGTGAACCCAGGAGGCGGAGCTTGCAGTGAGCTGAGATCCGGCCACTGCACTCCAGCATAAGACCAACAGGTTTTGTTTTTTTATAAGTGGAGTAGGTGATTCTAAGGTTTATATAGAAAATGAATAAAAAGAGTTGCAAAAATAATGAGAAAAAAGAGCAATGAGAGGGAGTAGCCTTATTAAATGTTAAAAGAAAGTGAAAAAGCCTCAGAGAGTGAAACAGTATCGTAGTGGCACATAAATAGACAAACATCAGTTAAAAATACTCCAGAAATGTACCCCAATATGTGATAAATGTAGCATCTCAAAAAAGGAAGGAAAATGGACTAGTCAATGTGCGCTATTAGGAAAACTTATGTGCTGTTGGAAGTCTTATACCTGGATAAATTCCAAATGTACCGAAGATTTAAATGTGAAAAATAAAACCCAAAAGTGCTAGAAGAAAAGTATGTGTGAATTCATTTATACCCTTGGGGTAAGGGAATGCCTTTTCTTATTATGACATAAAATCCCAAAACTGTGAAAGGAAAGGCTGATAACTTTGACAACTTTAAAATGAGAAACTCCTGATGGTAAAAATGTCAAAGTCAAATGACCGGGAAAAATTATTTGTCCTTCATGTCATAGATAATAGGCTCATTTTCTGAATATTTAAAGTTCCCCCACGAATCAAGAAGAAAAAGGCTACAACTCATAAAAATAGACGAAAGATTTGTAACAGGTAATTATACTGAAGGAAAGATGGAGAGCTCTTACGTGTATGACAGGATACTCTGCCTCCCCTGTCATTTAATGCAGGTTAAAACCATCCCATGATATAATTTTTATCTATTAGACCCGCCAAAGTGCAAGAGGCGGGCAGGACATTGTTCACAGGCCTATGGGCAAACAAGCGGGTTGCTGATGAAAATGCAATTCGCTATTACTCTTATAGAGAACAATTCAGCATTATCGATCAAAATTACAGATGCTTAGATCCTTTGACCCAGCAATTCTATTCCTCTCACATATGAAGAAAGACATAAGGATAGACTTATTTATTGCAGCATTGTTTGTAATAGTAAAATCATTGGAAACCTAAATGTCTATCAAGAAGGGGAAAGTGGCCAGGCACGGTGGCTCATGCTTATGATCCCAGCACTTTGGGAGGCCGAGGCAGGTGGATCATTTGAGGTCAGGAGTTCGAGACCAGCCTGGCCAACATGGTGAAACCCTGTCTCTACCAAAAATGCAAAAATTAGCCGGGCATGGTGGTGCAGGTAGTAATCCTAGCTCCTC